AGATCCTGTCCACTTTTCCTTCACAGTTTCCTAAATCTATTTTTAAAATTTATTATTTTTATTTTATGTGTATGCATGTATTGCCTGGATGTAGGTAAGTGCACCCGTGTCGTGTAAGTGCACCCGTGTCGTGCAATGCCCACAGAGGTCAGAAGAGGCTGTTGGACTGGAGTTACAGTTGTTAGCTGCCATGTGGGTGCTGGGAATCGAACCCAGGTCTTCTGCAAGAACAACCAGTGTTCTTAACTGCTGAGCCATCTCTCCAGCCCTTAAACCTATTTAAGTTTAAAAAAAAAGATGGATTTTTATAATTTATGAGTGTTTTGCTTGCTTGTATGGATGTGTACCACATGCAGGACCTTGCAGTAGCCTAGAAGAGGGCATCAGATCCCCTGGAACTGGACTTACAGATGGTTGATAGCCACCACGTGGGTCCTGGGACCTGAACTCGGGTCCTCTGCAAGAGCAGCCAGTGCTCTTAACTACTGAGTTGTCTCTCCAGCCCCCTGGACTGATTCTTTTTTTCTTTTTTTTGGAAACAGGGTCTCCCTGTAGCCCCAGCTGGTCTGGAACTCACTATGTAGACCAGGCTGGCTATGAACTCACAGAAATCTGCCTGAGTGTGCTGAGACCAAAGGCATGTGTCACCACGCCCAGTGTGGACTGATTTTTTAATACACTCAAGATTTTAACATTGTCCTCTGAGCTGTCATAATCACAGCGTGCTGGCTGGTCTCTCCTAAGTCTAACCACCTTGCACAGTTCTACCAATTCATTTTCAAATTATCACTGAGAACATACCTAAATTTTGCTTATAAACCACTGCCAAGGCCCTTATTTTGGATTTAAAATTTGCCAAAATTTGATCCTATCCTATTTTTTCTTTTGTTTTTTTTTTGAGACAGAATCTCCCTGTAGCCCCAGCTGGCGTGGAACTCACTATGTAGACTAGGATGGCCTTGAACTCACAGAGATCTGCCTGTCTTTGCCTCCAGAGTGCTGGGATTAAAGGCATATGCACCACCACGCCTGGTCATCCTACTATTCAATACTACATTTTATCTATATATTCACTCACTGGACAAAATGCTTACCAGGCACATCAAGTAGTCAAGGTAAACAGTACAGGACTAAAACAGTCCCTACCACGAAGGAGCACATGGTGTTTAATAAAGAAAATGGAATATACACAAAGATAGCTTCAGCATAAGGAGGGCTAGAGAGAGGGCTCAGCAGCTAAGAGCACTTGCTGCTCTTCCAGAGGACCTGGGATCAGTTCCCAGCACCACATCTGGGAACACTCTAGTTCCAGGTCATACAATGCTCCTTTCTGGCTTCTTGGGCCCTTGCACATGCGTCACACAGCCACACAAATACATAAAAATTAAAATATAAGGGCTGAAGATATGGCTCAGCAGTTAAGAGTGCTGGCTGCTCTTGTAGAGGGCCTGGGTCAGTTCCCAACACCCACATAGTGGCTAATAACTCTCTGAAACTCCATTTCCGGGGGATCTGACAAACCCTCTTCTGGTCTCTGTGGGTATTGCATGCATGGGTGTACTTATTTACATGCAGCCAAAACACTCATACACATAAAATTAAAAATAAATAAATAAATAATAGGCTGGGCGTGATGGCGCACACCTTTAATTCCAGCACTTGGGAGGTAGAGGCAGGCGGATCTCTGTGAGTTCAAGGCCAGCCTCGTCTGCACAGCGAGTTCCAGGATAGCTGGGGCTACAGGGAGACCCTGTCTCAAAAAGACCAAAAAAAAAAAAAAAAATTGAAGTGGGTAGTTTAAGCAGGATGGTGTAGAGGGCAGGGAGTCCGCAGAGCTTAAAGATCTGAGCATCTACGGTTCAATCCCAGCACTCACATGGTGGCTAACTGTCCTTAACTCCAGTTCCAGGGGAATCCAAAGCCCTCTTCTGACCTCCGTGGCATTGCCTGACATGGGTGCACTCACAGACATGCAGGCAATACACTTGTACACATTAAAAAAAAAAAAATTAGAAAAAGATGTTAAGAAGAAAATAAGTGCACAGAGAGAGTGAGCAAGGTGCTGAAGGTGTTAGGAGCTAACAGTGACAGGAGTTTGGGATGAAGTGGCATTTGGTAAGATCTGGAAGGGAAGACAAAGCTTCAATATGAGAAGGAAAAGGTCATTGCAAAAATATGACCAAAAAAATGGAGATGACAGTGTATGACAGATCAGTGTGACTTCTACAGTGTACACATAAAGCTGGAAAGGTGCCTGCAATCTCAGCATTCAAGAGGCTGAGGCAGAGGGATCATGAGTTTGACGCCAGTCCAGGATACATAGGCAGACTGCCCCCCACCCCCTGAAACGCAAGCAAGCAAGCGTAAAAAGGTCACTTAGAGCTAAAGCCAGATAATTATGATTTCTGGCCAACATTTGAACTTTGCTATCTATTCAACAAGTACTTAACTGGCATTTACCATCGGTCACACCATGGGTTAAGCATTAGGGATAGAGAGCAAGACATTCCTTACATACATGCTTTTCTAAATATTTTATTTTATTTTTTTTGCTCTTGGAGTGCACAGTCTAACAGAAAGGCAGTAAGGTCTCCTGAAGACGCTCCACACACTGTTGTCATGAGCGTGGTGGTACATAAGACCATTCTGTTTGTTTTTGAGACACAGTTTCCCTGTAGCTCCAGCTAGTCTGGAATTCTAGTCTATATAGATCAGGCTAGCCTCCATCTCGGAGATCAGCCTGCCCATGCTTCTTAAGTCCTAGGACTAAAAGTGTGTGCCACCAGGCCCAGCTCCAATAAACTAGTTTAAAATAAAAAAAAGTCCTAGCCAGGTGTGGTGGCACACGCCTTTAATCCCAGCTCTCGGGAGGCAAAGGCAGGTGGGCCTCTAAGAGTTCAAGGCCAGCCTGGTCTACATAGTGAGTTCCAGGATAGCTGGGGCTACAGCCCGTCTCAAAAAGACAAAAAAAAAAAAAAAAAGAAAAGTCCTGAAATCCAGTGTCCAACTCAAATACTACTTAGGCTGGAGCTGCATGTGGTGGTGCGTACCTGTAATCCCAGCACCCTCTAGACAAAGCAGAAGGGTCATTGCAAGTTCCAGGCCAGCTAGAGATACATATCCAGACTTGTTTTTTTTTTTTTTTTTGTGAGACAGGGTTTCCCTTTAGCCCCAGCTGGCTGACTTGGAACTCACTATGTAGACCAGGTTGGCCTTGAACTCACAGAGATCTACCTGCCTCTGCCTCCTGAGTACTGGGATTAAAGTTGTGTGCTGCCACGCCCAGTTTTAACTACAGACTCCTAAATGAGGGTATATGATATTCACCGTAAAGATTTTCAATCCTTTTTATTTGACAAATTTCCTAAAATGTTAAAGAAATAAACATACAGTTTTGAGTCTGGGCTAACTGGGAATAAAGAGGGAGATGCAAGAGAGCGAGGTTGGGGCCTGGAGGAGCTCAGTCAGCGACACAAAGATTAAGGAACCCAAGATCTGAGCAGAAATACTTCCAGACATCTGGGAATATAGGACTGGAGGGGAGCTCTGTTCCTACAGAGCTTAAACACACCTGCCTGCATGCCTCCCCTCTACCCACACCCTTCCTCTTCCTAAGCTTTCTCTGACTGACTCCTCAGCCCGCTCAGTGAGCACTGTGATTTGTTTATAGCACTATTATGTGCCACTAGAATGCAGGGCTGACGATAGAATCATACACACAATATACACCTTACCCGTCTTGAAGCAAGTTGCAAACTAAAACCTGCCTTATCCAGATCTCATAATGACACTTGGGTTTATGGCATTGTTTTTTCTTTTCGGTCTGTCCCTCATCCTCTCTCTTAAAAAAACATGCAGTGGAGAAAATAATCAGCCCTTTACAGATGAGATCAAATTTCCAATCCCAAGTCTTTTTTTTGTTTGTCTTATACCACCATGCCTGGCCCAAATTCTAAATATACTTGGCTATTTTTTTTTTCAACTTTTCTTTCATACTTCATATATTTCATTTTTCAGAAGTATAAGCAAAAGAAGCGAATGCTGATCTTACATGACAGAAGAATTTTTTTTTTCCTACAATTTATCTCCCTACTACTGTGAGAAAAACTGATAAATTATTCTTCTGGAATTCTGGTAACTTATTCATGGAATACATTCAGAATTAGACTTCCTTATTTATTACTGAGTTTAAACATTCTTTTCCCTTTTTGTTCCCTTTGGTTTTTTTTTTTTTGTCTTTTTGAGACAGGGTCCCCTTGTTGTTACCTACCAGGCTGGTTTCAAACTCTGCCTGCCTCTGCCTCCCAAGTGCTGGGATTAAAGGTGTGTGCCACTATGCCCAGCTTGTTCTTTTTTTAGTTAAAAATTGTTTTGATTTATTTTATGTGTATGAGTGTTTTTCCTGTATGTACATAAGTATAATGCCCGAGGAGGTCAGAAGAGAGCATTGGATCCCCTGGAACTGGAGTTATGGATGGTTGTTAACTGCCATGTGGGTGCTGGGAATTGAACCCAGGTCCTCTGCAAAAGCAGCCAGTGCTCTTAACCTCCGAGCCATCTCTCCAGCCCCAGCTGTAGCTCCTTTTATGAATTCTAAGAACCAGCCGGAATAAGCTGTTGATTCTTAAGCCTCTGATAGGCACAGTGGCCCTATAAGAAAAGCCCAGGACCCAGTGTGGCACTCAGGAGGCAGAGGCAGGCAGATCTCTGTGAGTCTGAGATCAGCCTGGGCTACAGGGAGACCCTGTTTCAAAAATACAAAGAACCCCAAAACCCAAACAAACAAACAAACAAACAAACAGCAAAGCAAGCCCGACTGCTTTCTCCTCTGTCCAGACAAACTCGTCTTGGTGGTACCTGTGTTTCCTATCCTTGCAGCAGCCACCCCCCAACTGCATGGGAAATTCCCAATGGGCCCTGACCTGTTTTACTCCAAGTTCACCTCCTATTAAGGAAGAATCTGTCTTACAATTGTCCGCCCCCCTCCGGAAACAATGTACCTTCTCTCCTCTCTCTCTGTCTCTGTCCTTCTCTTCCTTTTTCTTTTTCTTCTCCGCATGCCCATCTGTGTGAAGGGGAGGAAGCGGTGGGGTGGGGGCGGTGCCTCCAGCGTGGGGGACACTGGGAGGAGGGCCAGGTGTTGCAGTGCCATCTCCCGTGGTGGTGGCGGTGGCGGAGGGGAGCCCCGAGCTCCTCCTGGACTTGGAGTGCCGCTTCTCCCGGTGCTTCTCCTTGTCCTTCTTCTTCTTGCTCTTCTTAGACTTCTTTTTCTTCTTGATTTCCCGGTAAGAATCATCTATCACTAGCTCGCCAGCCTCTAGCTCCCCACCAGAGGACGACTCAGACTCCACTAGAATGGGTTCAAGCCCTGAAATATCAAGGTTAGCACTGTGGGGCTCTGGGAGCTGGGAGGCATCAGATGCACAGCCTTCAGGGCCAGGAGAGGAGTGCGGGTCTGAGGAGGACTTGTGCTTCTTCCGGGCTGTTTTCAGGAAGCTCTGTAACTCGTGTCCTAGGAGTAAAGCACCTTGCTCTTCCCGAGCTGATTTCTTGGAGGCCTTCTTCATAGTGGCTTGTTGGGAAGGGTACTGAAAAGCCTCCTCCTCAACTGAACCGCCTCCCTTCTCCTTTGGTGACAGAATAAGTTTCATCTTTAAGCCATCGGGCTCACGAAGTGTCAGGGTCTCTGTGTTCACAAACAGAGGCTTCATTTTTTTGGATCTGTGAATGCTGCCATCCTCCAGGGACTCCCCACTGCTTCCGTTTCCTTTCTTCCTGTGGTGCTCCTTTGCAGTCTCTGGGTGGCTTGAGGGGCTGGATGACTTCTCGCCGGTCTTTCTGGAGGACTTGGAGCCTGCTGCCAGTGGGGATGGGGACGTGATAGCCTTCAACAGGGCCATTGCTGTGTCGGCAGACTGTGGGCTGCACTTTTTCTTTTTCTTCTGTGATGATTCCAAAGACGGAATGTCTAGAAATAACCAAGAAGAAGCACTGTCAACAGGAGAGGGAGCAACTTCTAGCAAGTGCCCCTTCATCAAAACACCCAACTGGCACGAGGAAAAGGCTAACAGGAGCAATTCTGAGGGGAGACATTCTGGTTCCTAACATTTGGAGATGACCCCCATTTGCTTCTTGGCTTGGTAGGTTCAGCTTTGGCCCTCGAGACCATTCTTGCCACTAAAGTTGATTCTCTTCCTCGAGTCTTCAGAGACCAGAGAGCGCATACCCAGAAGAATAGAGCTGTGGGATTAAGGGTAGTTACAATCCAGATTAGATTGCAGACAGAGTGTCATTTGTTTCTGTGTTCAGGACAAACTCATTCTAGTGAAAGGTTAGTCTCATCAGCGCAGAACACAGCTAAGAAACCTGGTTTTGTGAGTGGATATACACTGGTTGAGAAATGCCCCACAAGTATAGGCCAAAGGGCCCAAGGACTGCATTTGGCAAAAGGGATGCTAGGTAACAATGGCACAGATAAGTGGATGATTGGGGGGAGAAGGAACCTGGTACCTTGTGTATCACAAATGAAGACTGTTCTTCTATGCTGAATTCTCCAAAATACCAGCCCTCCACCTCTCTCCTCCTTCACACTGGTTTATCGGCACTCAGAACAAGAACCACTGTCCTGTTAAATAGGCCACTGAGTCAGCAACATCTGGGATCCCTTTCCCCTACCCCGACTCCAAGAACCAGCGATGTGCGTACCCCACCTGCAGCCCTCGCCCATCCTTACCTCCATAGCCGTAATCATCAGAGGAGTGCTTCCTCTTCTTCTTATGTGTGTCCGTCCCCAAGAAGTAAAAGTCACTATCCTGCCATTAAAGAGGGAGAAGAATTGACCAGTAAGATGATGATGAGTCAAGAATCATTCTTCTTTGATGATTTCTGACTTTGGAAAACATGTTTGGAACTGACCTTTAACTTCTTCTTGGAAGAATTCCTGACCTGAGCAGCGATTTCTTCCTCTTCTCTTAAGAAATCTTTGTATGAACGTTTCTTTTCTCGTTGGCTTCGGCCAGCTGCAAGTCCTATGTCCTCAAAGCTGTGATCACCATCAAAGCAATCTGGGAAGCACAGGTTCATTTAGGAATGGAAATGACAAAATCAAGTACATAAGCAACAACTAAATGCAACAGTCCGTTTCCAAATTAAAGTCATGCTTCACGTGCGCACTGAAGTGCTGGGCTAAACCCACAGGGCCAAGGACATTCTTGATGACCTGGCTGCAAACACGAGAGCCAAACCTGAAAAAACAGCGTTTCTGTGCTAAGCAAATGCCCAATGCGCATCTTCAGACATGGTTTCTTAGCTGCGACTTGGCAGGTAGACACAGACTTGCAGAGGTACAGCTGAAAAGTGAGGATGCATGTGCTGTGCAGCTCTGTGGGTCCAATGTATGATTCCTAGCCCCAGACTCCCGCACACTGGAGCTGGTAAGGACTACGAGTGCTGCAGGGGCTCACCCCGATACACTAAGAGAATCTTAGTTCAGAACCCCTGTCCTGGTTTGCGTTTCCACGGGCCCAGTTCTGGGGATGATGTGGATGGAGGCTGAGTGTCATACCAGTGCTCTGGACCATCACCTGGGAATCTAGGCTGTGGTGCCAGGTCTTGGTCTCTATATCCATAGGCTGCAGGGACTGAAGAGGTTACGCCCTCTGGAATGCTTCTGAGTAAGGGGTCATACCTTCTTTCTTCACGGAGTCATCATAAGCCATGGTGGTCCTGCAGGGCCTTTGAGAATGTCAGTGTGTCCAGGCTCCTTCCCGTCTAGAGGGCCAGGTCTGAGAAACAAAGAAGGAAAACCTTCCTGTAATGCGAATCACTGTGGAGAAGCAACCTTCCAGGTGGAAATTCGAAGTAATCCAAGGGCTGCCTGGAAGGGCAGGAAGGAACAGAGGAGTGTCTTGTCACCTCTCACTGTGAATTACTGGGATTGAGCTTGCGGCTAGGTGTAATTAGATTTAATTCATGAATTAAAAGTTGTCATTCGGAGAAGCATATAAAATACTTCTTAGTTTAAAAAAATACTTCCAAAATTAATGAGAATTTCTGGAATGCCAACAGGACCGATGACACGGAGGCAGGGTAAAAACTGACATTAAGTCAGAGGCATAGCTTCAACCATGGTTACAGGATGCACAGATAAAGCCAGATACAGAGGAAGACAGATTACACCAGACACCTGAAGACCACAAAATCCTACTGACTGGACTGATGAACTCTGTTGTATCATAACTTAAACAGAAATGACAACAGATATGAAATACTTTTTTTAAACTTTGCATTCTGTTGGGCTTTATGGACTTGCTTGAATTCATTGAAGCATAGAAATAGAAATACCTCCTTCAATTTGATGTTTACACAGAAGCTTCCAATACTAACACGACTTTTTCGTTTTTTTGGTTGTGACCCTGAGCCTTTAATAGCTGAGCCAACTCTCCAGCCCTTAATAAGACTTTCTTTTTTTTTGGAGGCAGGGTCTCCCTGTAGCCCCAGCTGCTCTGGAACTATGTAGACCAGGGTGGCCTCGAACTCACAGCAATCTGCCTGCCTCTGCCTCCCAAGGTGCTGGGATTCAAGGCGTGGGCCACCAAGCCCAGCAACAAGCCTTTCTTAAAGGCTATTAGAAAGCCTGAGGAATAGCCATTTATCCACAGATGATGAAATCTGCATTATTTTCAGACTTTTCACTAATTAGAAGTGTAATAATTTACATGTTCTAAGTATTGTACATTTAAAGCTTTCTTTGGCCTTCAAGTTCAAATGCCCATATTGACTTTGAAGAAGAAAATGTTACATATATATTGCACAGTAAGGTAAAACTCTTAAAATACCTTAAGGATGAGTAACACCACAAATGCTGCAGGAAATCTTTGCAGGATATCTAAAATTATAGCCATTTTGAGAAAATATTTTTACTGAGTTGGCCAGACGCTTAAAAGTCATTCTGATCTATTTATTTAAATTGTAATTTACCTTCATTATTATCAGTGGGTTACAGAATTCTATAACATATTATTAAGCCTGTCAGGTAGGTGTGAAGAAAATAGAAGCATGTAATATGGGGAAAAGGAAAGATGAACTGGATTAATAGGGGAAACTTCCATAATTTAACAGGTAAGAATTTTTTAAAAAGCCAGATCAAATACAATGCGCAGGTAGGCCCAAGTTGAAAAGACAAAGGAAAAAAAAAAGCATTGCCAAGAATATTATTGTAAGTCTAAGAAACACAAAAGGTGAAATGCAGATTTGCTCAAGGTAAGAGAAGCTGGAGTGAAGAAAGCAAACAGAATAGCTGGGTTACTGGCAAGCTGTTTGCTCAAGGGCCTTTTCAGGAGCAATGACCAGATGTAAGGTCAGGCCCATGGAAGACTGTGAGGAGACAGATGCAATGTAGCCAGTTTTTCTTGCATTTAAGTACTAAACTGTTAAATGGAAACTATTCTTCCCACTCAAGGGGTGCTGACTTAAAAAGGGGTGAAGGTGGGTCGCAGGGGATTACATCCATTCATTTAAAAATAGCAGAGCAGCATGCTCACTGGCACCAAACTCGTGAGTTTATTAGAACACAGACATCACATTGGCTCTCATAGGCTGGTAATGCTGAGTCCTACAGCTTAAGATTACAGTTAAATGCTCTTCATGTCAAATGAATTTGGGGATAGAATTCTTGAGAAATAACGGTACCCCACCCTCCAAAATTAAAAAAAAAATCTTTATTTATAGTGTCATAAACATAGCATTCAATCCCTAGTCAACATCAAAATATACTTTTAAATTAAGCAAAGGCAGGCCCAGACACTTATAAGCAGGCCTTCCCTTTAAGAACATTAAACAGAACTAAGCAATTGCCTTGTGAGAAAAAAGAAGACTATGACTTACTGGATATGAAAAAGTGCTCACTGTCTCCTGACTGCTCTGAGAAACTAGTGGATTTTAAAAGCTGTGAAAAGGTACAGAAAATTAGGAAATGCTTCAGAGGCAGGTCACAGAAAACATGCTGGCTTTACATATTAGAATTGGGCCTGCTACTCTTGAAATTTTCTTAAGAACACTGAAGAGCATTTTATACTTTACAGGATCAAATGTCTGTAGGAAAAAAAATGGGCTCTGACCACAAGCCCAATTCACCAATACTTAGGCAGCCAAGAGCTTGAAAAATACCATGACTATATATTTACAGGCTGGGCAGACTGATGGGCTCTGGACTGTAGTTCAAGGGTTAGTTGCGGCCAACTCATAAAAGAAAGATAGCACCAGATTAAAAGTCTCAAGCAACAGTGTGAAAGAGCAGAGCTTAGGCAACATTTATACAGGATTAGAGAATCCCTGATGTTCCCTTCCCAGTCTGGAAGATTACCCAAGAACAACTGAGTTGTTCGGGGGGAGGCAGCAGACTGGAAGGGTTAATCAACACGAAAAAAAACTCTAGATTCGATTTTCACATTAGAAAACAACTACATTAAATGTTGGCAAACGTAAAACAGGTGCTAAAACCCATTCTCCTGAATTCCATAATTTTGGAGTTTACAAAATTCTGTTTGTCTTAGCATGCAAAGAAATGACAACGTAAAAGTTCATATTTAATTGTAAAAATGCATGTTTGGGAAATTTGAAAATTGTTAACAGGCTCTTCTGAGACTTCTCTTACAAAAAGAGGCTGTGCTTCCACTTAGAGATAAAAATGCAAGTTAACCTGCATTCAGGCATAGGCTTTCGGGATGACCAAATTAATTATGAAAAAAGTTAAAAGTCATCACATGTAGTACTTTGTTATTTTGAAAATTCGAACTGTAAGTATCCAAAAAAAAGTTTCAAAACAAGATTTTTGGAGGGTATCTCGGTTCTAGCAATCATCATCATTCCAGAATATAAATGAGAACTGAAAAAGAAGAAAGCAAGGCCCTCCAGCTGGGCAAGGGAGGTCTTCTCCAGATGAGAGCTTCATCCAAGTTTGTTCTGGCTTTTTATCCTTTCAGCAACTCGAACCGCCAGTCCGTGGAGGGAAAAGAAACAGCACATCCAGCAGTTTGCCAAATTTTGTTGCTACTTCTAGGGCAGCGCTGGTGAAAGTCTTCTGTTTCCGTGGGTTTTCTCTCCTCTCAGATCACAGCGACTCCAAATTCTGGCCACACCCTTCTGCACCGACCTAGACCTCCCTATGCAGCACTCACAGCCCCTGCCAGCTCTGGAAGCTGCAGAGATCTCGACAGCCAGGGACGAGGACTGAATCCTCTCATTGCAGTGCAATTAAGCGGAACCACGACCACCGCACAGATTGGCTGGCAACACACATTTCCACGAGACCAGCGGTCCGTTTTGACAGGCCATGTGCGATCAACAGGCTTTACTTCGGTTTTTAAAATTTATTTTGCTAAGGGGGAATAGCGAGATCAGCCACTAAGCTTAGCCATCAGGAAAAAAAAAATAGGTGGTAGACATCTCATGTTCAACATGATAGAAAGTGAATCTACAAGTGGAGGGAAAAATGGGCCTCGCGTGGAGGGACTCCCACTACGAAGGCATGTTCAAATTGGGTCGCACGCAAAGAATACACACAATACGAGATTTTTATCCAAACAGCCCCCCTAAAGCCCCCATCGCAAACAGATGTGATCCCCGAGGCAGGTTTGCAGAACAGCTACTTCAACAAAGCTCCGTGCAGCGCAACCAGCTCCGCACATCCTCTCCAGCCCGCCGCGCACCCAGCCCTCCCGCCCGCCCGGCCGGGGGACCTCTCCTCCTGACAGCCTCCGGCACCCCGCACACGGGGTCCCCAGCCCGGCACCGCCCGACCCGGGTTCCCGCGTCCTGGCGGCCTCCGGCGCCAGGGAGGACGGAGACGGCCGGCGGGGGGAGGGGCGGCGCGGGCCGCGGGCCCCTGGGGCAGCCGCACGCCCCCTCCCGGCCCCGCAGCTTTCCCGCCTTCCCCGTTTGAACAGTTCCCGCCGCCTTCCACCAGCGGCCCGCTCTAGCCCTTGCCCGAGAGCGGCTGCGTCCGCTACTCTAGTCCCCGGCTTGGCCTCCGGGCTAGGCCGCAGCGGGCCTGGGGCGCCTCCGAGGCGGTGTCGCGGGACCGGAGTGGCGGGTGGAGGCCGGGCGGGGCCGTTGCCACCCTGGAGTGGGGGTCCGGCCCAGTCTCGTGGGGGCTCCGCCTGCCGCTACCTTCATTCGGCTCGCTCGGATCCCGCCTCAGCGCCGCCGACCGCCGCCATCTTGGAGAAGGAGAGAAAAGCACGAGCGGCCAGGGAGCCTCAGTCGAGCCCAGAGCGCAGACTCCGACTCGATTCGGGGAAATCCCGCTGGACCGTGAGCGCCGAGCGCATCGAATAGAACCCTACTTGTTGAGAATGGTGGGGTTTAGGTAGCCTCTCTCGGAACATTGTATCATTTCCCAAGTCTTCTGATCTTATTAGATCAGAAGCAATGGTTTTCCCAGAACACTATACTGTTTATTTCAAGATATTTTAATACAGTAGTTCCCCTCTTTGCCAAACTCAGACATGCAGATTTATAGTAGTGGTGTTTATTTATAATTTACCATATATATTTGGATATTTAAGGCCTTTGGGGTGAGCCGGACGAATCTTGGTAATAATGTAAAGTTATTTGCATGCCAAATGGTTACATTTCGCCACATAAATTATTTTCATTAAAAATAAAACCCCCAAATCAAAAGCAAGGCAGGGGGTATGACACGGCTGGGGAAGGCACTTTCTGCCAAGCCTGAGGTCCAGAGCTTAAGCCCCAGGACCCACAGAGTGGAAGGAGCCCACTCCTGCCAGTTGTTCTCTGACCTCTCCAAGTGAGTGTGCCCGCCCGCACACAAAATTTGAAAAGTAAAATAAATGTTACAATCTGTCCTCAAAGAGATGAAGAGAGATTATTTATATAGAGGAAGGAACTTAGCTTTTTCTGATTTGCTGTGGAGTATCTCGGTCTAATAAATAGACGTTAAAATACCCAGAATTTGGTTTAATACAAATTAAAGAACCTCTTTTTCTAGCACTAGTATAATGGGCTGCCGTGGGAATAGTAACCTGTCCATCGTAGGAGTCCTACCTGTTGTAGAGCAAAAGGCTGAGGGACAGATTGCTTCTAGAGTTTTGAATCTCTTGAAGCTATGTTTTTGTGCCCATGTGTGTTTTTCTGAGGCTTAAGTGCCACAACAAATGTTTCAGCAAGCTTTCCATTCCAGAACAGAAGGAAAGAGCGCCTTTTCAGCAAAGCTACCTAAATCTCCCTGTAGTAACTGATATTCCTAGGCAAAAGTTGCAGCAACAACAAACAGCCATGACAATAGCAGCCATACTTTGAACTAAGCCTCATACCTTACACAAAACCCAATTCAAAATGAATTGTGAACATGAATGTAAAATGTAAATTTGTAAGTCTTTAAGGGGCTGGGGAAGTAACTCAGTTGTTTGCTTAGCCTGCAGGAAGCCCTGGGTTCTGGGTTCGATCCCCAGCAGAGCATAAAGAAGACATGGCAGTGCATGCTTGTAATGCACTTGGGATTCAGAGGGAAGAGGATCAGAAGTTCAAGGACACCCCCCCCACACACACACGGCTTCATAGCTAGTTCTGTGTTACCCCAGAGCTTGAGATCCTGTTAAAAAGAAAGAAAAACAGGATGTTAACGATAAAACAAAATTAGACTTGACACCAAAAAACATCAACTGTAAGAGGAAAAAACAGATAAACTGGATCTCATCAAAATTAATAACCACTGTTTTACAAAAAACTTGAAAGGATAGGAAGGCAGTCTATACAATGTGAGAAATTGGTTGCAAATCACATAGCTGAAAAGGGATTAGTATCTACAATTGATATTGGGGAAATCGGGGTGCCCTCTTGGGATCCTTAGTCTGATTAATAAAATAATTTAAGAATGTGCTCAAAGGGAAGTGTGAAGACAATTTTGTCAGAGTTTAAAAGAAAATTCTCCAGGGCAGGCAAACTATAAATCTCAGCAGCTGTCCAGAGGAGGACAATGAAGGAGAGAAGGAAAAAAGGCCTTGCTGTTTTAAGCCTGCTTGAGATTAGACACATGGTGAACTGGCAGCCAGTCACATGGAGGGATGAGGAGCTTTGGAGAAAGAGTAAGGGAACTCAACATGTTGGGGCAGCATGCTTAGAAAAGAGAAGAAAAGGAGAGGTTACACTGAAGAATTTAGAAAAGTGGGCAGACTTACAAAGTTGTAGGGCTGAGGCCTGGTAAGCTACTATGCTGGGGTAGGAATTCTGGGAAGGAGAACATATCATTAAAGGACTACTCATTCCACCTGTTTATCTCTTCAGGTGAACCTACCTTCCTAGGGGTGGTCCCTTGGCCAAGTGATTGACCAGGCCCAAGTGGAATGTTAGGTCACCACTCAGACCAGAGATGCTATTCTCTTGACCAGAAGGAGTTTTCTCTCTCTTTTTTTGGGTCTTTTTGAAACAGGGTCTCCCTGTAGCCCCAGCTGGCCTTGAACTCACTATGTAGACCAAGCTGGCCTTGAATTCACAGAGATCCACCTGCCTCTGCCTCCCTAATGCTGGGATTAAAGGCATGTGCCACCATGCCCAGCCTCAAACTGAATATCTTGATCAAGAAAAATAGGAGAAAACTTATGTTACTTTGGAGTTTGCAAAGATTTCTTAAATGCATAGTGCACAAAAGGGAATATTTTAAACTTCATCAGAATTTAAAATATCTGTCCTTTAAAAGATGCTGTTAAAAGAAAAACAAAGTTTAGGCTGGTAGAAAATATTTGTGATCTATATCTA